ATTGAAGGCAAAATAAGGTTTTACACGATGTGGTCGCCTTTCTCTTCACAGTAATGAAGGGACTGAGTTATAATTACTTTCCAATTTCCTTTCGAAGAACATTGTATTGAATATTAGTAAATTATTCCTGAACTTTGGCGAAACTACTAAAAAGTAATAGAAGTATATGAGGACCGAAACATAAAATCACAGTGGAAGTCTCCCTCAAAGTAGCTGAACTGTATTTTAAACACAGAGAAATTACTTCTTCTTTGTTTCCCAACTTGTAATTCACACTATGGTTGAAGACCTCCAATTACCTGTATTTTAGTGCTAATTCCTTGTATAAGTGACTTGACTTGTATAACTGAGTTGCATAAATGACACCCCTTGCAGTAATCCTCTCAACAAAGCCTGATCCCAGCTGAACGGCTCATCTGACAAAAACTGGTTTCAGCTTCCCTCCCTCCAGCTTTATCGACCACCGACATGTTGCAGAAAGGCTGCCCTCCTGTGAGACACATCCTGGAGCGCGTGAGAAACAAGCTGTGATTACACGGCTTCTTTCACACTGTGGCCTTTCTCTTTCTATGTTCCCAGATTTGGCTGAGGTGATGGAAACATTAGTCAGAGTGGTTTTATTTTCCCCTCTTCAGGTTTTTTCATACCTCACTTTTTTCATACCTCGGAGCTCTGTCCGTGTTCTGTAGCTTTTGTCATAGTGTTGTTTTTGTAGATTGACCTGACATGTGATTATGCAAGAATAATGTTCATTTTAAGTATACATATTACGCTGGAGTTTGTTTTTTTACCACACAGAGAAACCAATCCCTCATTTTAATTTAAATGTACCTGCTGAACCATGAAAACCTTCAATCACACTCCAAGTAGATATAAAAAAGGCTATAACATAGCAGCCTGATCTCCAAAACCTGTTCGTAAAAATGTATACGAAAATCTTGAACATACAAATTTCGTAGTGATACATACGAAATGACGTCCCCTATTCAAAGTGAATGGGGACCTGCACCCTGTAAACACACTTTGTGAAGTCTAACGATGTAAAATAAACGTGTTATGATTGTATTTTTAACAAGAAATCAATGTTAACTTGTAAGAATAGAATCCTAACCCTAACCCCCTCCAAAATCCGGAGAGGCGGAGAGACGTTCACTCAAAAATCCGACATGGTCCGCCATGTTGTTCACTCAAGGGGCGTGGTTAACCCCCGCAGTTCGTATGTATCACTACGAAATTTGTATGTTCAAGATTTTCGTGTACATTTTTACGAACAGGTTTTGGAGATCACGTTGAACATAGAGGTAGTCAGAAATGTAATTTATGCATTTTCTAATGACTTGTTTTATGTATTTGCAGCAGTCCCAACTTCATCAAAACTGGTATAATTGCCTTTTCTTCGTCTTCTGTCACAACCGCCCCCTCTATCCCTCTCCTGCAAATTGGATTTCAATTGCAAGAGTGATAATTTCACTCATTAGCAAAGCCTGTAAGCACTACCTAATCACCCAGAACCAAACGGGACAAAAAAAACACCTAAATCCAAAAATAGAACCATTACAGAGATATTTTGCAGTACTGCGCAATCTCCCTGCTTCCATGATTGGTCTGTTTGTCATATTAGCTTTGACAGTTGTATGGCCTTTTGAAGAAATGCACTTAGAGCTTATGTCAGTTTGTGCACCTCATGCATTGTGGGGTCAAGTTCCTATTTGAAGCTTGCCCATACCACCTATCTGTTGTCACCAATGTGAGCATGCGGTTTGATTATGTGGTTCATACATACGTTTTTTCAAATGCCCATCGAAACCCTGTTTATTTATGCTGTCAAAATCAACCTTTTGTCAAAATCAAGTGGATGTTTAAATAGGCTACATGTAGAAGAAGTGGAAAAGAAGAAGTGACCAAAATGCACCAAAAAAGCAATTAATTGCAGTAAAAGTACAGAGACCCTCATGAGCAAGTGCTGGGTGTCTAACCCCATAATCCCATGTGGTTGCCTTCAGTCAGCCGATCAGCAGCTGTATACTATCTGACACTGTTGCACTCACCGGTTTGAGAGAGAACACCTTGCAATTCTCCCATAGCCTCGACCACCCTGTAATATTCTGTGTAAGTTATAGTGATTCGACCAAGTAAAAATCCGCATTTTTATCTGCTTGGCATTGTTTTTGTTTTTTTGTGAAGCCAAAAACCAATGCTTCTGCTCCCTAATATCTTCAAAATGGGCCATTTAGTTTTATTTAAATGCATTCGGGCATCTGTGTCTTGTCTGTAAATGAGACATTTGTGGCAAATGAAAATGTAAAATGAAAATGTATCAGTTAGATCAGTGGTCCCCAACTACCGGGCCGCGGACCGGTACCGGTCCGTATCGCCGTTTGGTGCAGAAAGTACACCACAGAAAGCTTATATATATTTTTTTTCTGAAAAATGTTTTACTTTGAAAATTGACCGGATTTTCTTCTAATTATGTGCGCTCGTCCCTCTGACACATTCCCCACGCGTCACCAGGCGTTTTTCTTGTCGACCAGCGAACACAGAGCGCGCGACTACTACCCCCCCGTCGGACCTTCTCGACCGGTCCGCGAAATATTGTCTGACATGAAACCGGTCCGTGAGGTAAAAAAGGTTGGGGACCACTGAGTTAGATGATGTCTGAACTGGTTATCAAACTATTCACAAATATGCCAATTTAATTAGCGATGTGGATTTATGGGAAATGCTGTTTTATGGGAGGCCGCAGAATAACGGAAATATTGAATAAACCATGATGTTAGATAGTTCTCAGGCGGAATTCTTTGATCTACATTTGCGTCGCTCCGGTTTCACATTGCCTTTAGTATGTAACTTATTCAATGTTAGTGTTTACATTTGTTATCCTCAGAAAAACTGCTTCTTTGTCTGAAATGAAACATAATTACCTTGACTAATCAATATGATGAGCTTCAATGAGATCTTCATCAAGCTTTCAACGGTGTAGCTTTTGCACTCTTTCATGGGTGTTTTTGTTACAGTAACATAAGAACAAGCATAAGAACAGATACCTCTGATCCAGTGCTTCTAATACATCGTCAATGAGCAAGCCTCGGGGGACGGAAGGAGAGATGATGAAGTAACATGCTGTGCATGCTCCTTCCTTTGTTTTCACGCTGACATTCAGGGGCTCAATAGCTCATCCTAAAGTCACCATTGTGTGCTGATGCGTGGACTCATTGAAGTCAAGGCTTAACAAGGCTTCTTTTTGGAGTGCAGAATATTTCTTGTTACGCTAGTTTCTGCGAATATGTTTGAAAAAATAACTATTTTTAAGAAAACGGTTCTGCCTCACTTGGCTTGGATTGATTAGCGGAATCAGGCAATTAATATCGACACACTGAGGTAGAAGGAAACGCCAGATGTGAGTCCTCTCTTCTCATATGTATGCACATCATGATCCAACCTGTTGACGTACAGCTAGTAGTAAAAGTAAATCACCGTACTATTTACTATGTGAAGACAGAACGGGGTAATGTCTAAATGAGCAGAGAATTTAGTCGCTCGCCCTCTTATACAGGGGTGTTTTCTACAGGAAACGCCATATAGACCCACTCTGGAGGTCTAATATCTTCTCAATCCAGGATAATTACATGGAGAATAATGGCTGCATAAATTGACAGGCATGTAAATGAACTGCAGAGAAGGAGAAAGAGCGGTGACTCACAGTGGGAGCGAACGGTTGGCACTCGAGCACGAGTGTTCATCAACGTTCTTTTCTCATGCAAAATTATTGGCGTTATTCTGACTGCATTACTTCGTCACTTGCCTTTCGCCGCCACTCGAAACAACAGGATTGGAAAACAGAGGCGGTCAAATGGATAAAGTTCATAGAGTGAGGTCCATTTCCTCGGTGCAGTTTCCCACAGCTGAGGCTTTTATTCTGATGTGTCATTCTCTCGGCCACTTCAACGCGGCTCAGTGTCTGATTTTTAACCTCCAGCCAGTAAATGTTTTTTTTCCTGCACCACCACAGGATAACTTCAGTGATTGGTTGAGAATGGCCTGATAAACATGGGGGGAATTGAGCGATACAGTGTAACTGGTACTTCTGTATGGTATTATCCCATGAAGGGAAGTGTAAGCACAGCTCGTTGAATTTCAGCAACCTTGAATCAAACGCATAATGTCCATTTTGCACATAATATTTCCACCCACTAGAAGGTCCTGCCCACCGGTTTATCTAATGGATCAATCATCTTTTCACACAGAGCGGGTCTTTAAAGGCCAAAAACTAAATGTTGAGGATATGTTTGTTGCATGAGGACAAATGCAATGTCTGAGAGAGACAGAGAGACATTTTGTGTCATAACTCAACAGCAAATAGGAGATTTGAATCAAATATGCTCTCTATAAATTTAAATTTGGAAAGTTGAGAGTCACAGAAATACCACTTTCTTGAATTCTGAGTATTTTTTGTCACATAAACTGATTCTACCTTGAAACTATAGTGTGTGTGTGTGTATGTGTGTGTGTGGCATTCAAATTTACGACTGGAGGGCGCGCAGCAGATTAAACGTTACAGCAGGTGTCCATTAGTGCCTCTGTGTTCGAGGGACATTCTCTCCCAGCACGTTAAGCTGTTTAGCATCACATGGATGCTTACTGTAATATATCGTCCAGCCTTAACGTCTAACCAAATTGAGGGAGGTTTAACGAGTCGGATATTGCTCGAGCTCAACATAAATCGCGCCGGGGTGTCATGTTATTTGTGATAACAGTAAAGTTGGCCTCAAACGGCTTCAGTGAGATTCATTTGTGTCAGGCCAGGCCACCACACGGCGAGTGACTTCAAAACAAAGCCATCAGCCGCTCTGATGGATGTCCCCCGTGTGGTCGTGTCTCCTGCAGAGGACATGTGCGCCTGATTCATGGCGCTCTTGGATGTGGCTCTTTTTTTTTTCAGTCGTGGCTGATCAGTAGGGGTGCAGGTCAGTGAAAAGAGAAATGATGGTGCGAGACAGGAAGATGTTGCAAGAGGCGCAGCGATTATTGTCCGTGTTTAATATGGGCAAAAAACAACACAAAATACAAAACAATCCATTTAAACAGCAAGAGCAGAAAAAAACAACAACCGTGAAACAGAAATGTAAGGCCAAACAAAGCAATGCCTCTGATGTAAATGCATCAGGTATCACATCTTTGTCGTCTTTGTGTTCATCTCACAAAAGCTTGCGTTCATGCTGCGATCTGTGCGCACCGCGCAGACTACAAAACACCTCCCGCACAACCGCTTCTTGATTTTCTCCACTTTGTGATACAAACAGCAGACTTTTTTAATTTTCTAATATAGCACATATTCAAGTTCAAGGACCATTAGCTTCCACTGACTGGTTTAAAATGATAGAAAACACACTGATGTAACAATGGGTCAAAACAACCTTCTTTTCTTCCTTTTTTTTAATGCACTTGCTGGCACACATTTCAAAAACACAATATTTAAACAACTTCACGTAGCACTGCACAATAGATTTCAAGCAAACTGGCTGTGTTGACAGAAACGCTCACCACTTTCGTTCAGTTTACACAGTTTTCATTCCCCTCTGAGTGCTCTTCAATTTAAACAGATACCTAGCTCAGACCAATAGCAGAGAATTCTTCTTTTAATAGCAGCGTGAGCTACATACATACTGTGGATTGCAGCAACTCGAGTGTGCCACTCTGTCGCACCCTATTTACACGGCCCATCGTTGCTCTGTGGGATCAGAAAAGCGCTGCACGCTCCGAACCTCGGCAATATCAGTGATCTACCGCTACGGCAGTTTTCTGATTCTTCGACGAACAGCCTCTCATTCTGCACCCCAGAGTTACGTCCCCGTAATCAGACACCGGTCAGCGGCCCTGTGCAGGCTCCTCGCAGAGCATGCAGAGGTTCACGTCGACCACAGCAACGTACGGCTTTGCCGAGTCCGTCCCTGTTAAGACTAAAATCTCTGCAGAATTCATTAGCCCGCAAGGGTTTTTTTTTTTTGCTGACATGGCAGCGTTAAATGAGGCTCTGTCTTTTTTTTGTTACCAAGACACTCACGAAAGGTCATGTAATTCCATGTCCGTGCTTTTTCGAGCTAGCAGGATTACGATTTTACGGTTTTGTGCGTTTGGATACATCTGAATGACATGGTTTCTGGTGGGGAGGTTCATGGACAAAGAGAAAAGCGTAACGCAGGGAAACCTGGGCATCACTGAGATAACATTGTATCCCAGCGCAGGGCAATAAAACCATGAAAGAAAATATCCTTGATTAAAAAATGTGAGACTGATATATTGTAGATGGACGAGATCGTTTGATGAGGCATGACGCCAAATCCACAGACGGAAACGCAGCTATTTCTACCCAGTCATTTATTAGTTGCTGAATGTCACGAGAGAGATACCAGTTATTTCCATCCTCACTCAGCCCATACCCACACATTAAATCTGATTAATTCAGCTCGTGCAAGAAGAGGCGTGGTGGTGGTTCATCAAGCAGCCTCCGGACGTGTTTGAAGAACAAAAGAAGCCAGCTAATCGTCGCCCCTATTTCGCATACACTAATACGACACTATAAGAAAACGTCTCACAGGGACCTTTGGTGACGGCTATCTACTTCCATCCATCCGCCATACCTCTACCGCTGGGACAAAGCTAGCACGTAGCTGCGTGGCCTCTTTGTTGGAGTCAAACTACTGGTATAAAGAGCACTTCCGTAGCAAAACTTATTTGTACTGATACAGGAAGCAATAAAACAAAACTGTATTTTTCCTGTTGTGGATAAACAAGGAACGCCCCTGTGTTGTGGCGTTGATTTGAATACCACATTTCTACTGCATGGAACCACATGACTCACCCAGATTCCCGTCCATTGGCGGACGTTATCAATAGGACAGGGTGTTAATTTTGGTACCACCGCCATCAAGGCTCCAAGCGAGCCAAGCCGCTACTAGAAGGTGAGGTAAGAATGCAGAACTTTCACAAGACATCATGCACAAACCCATCACTCAGTAGCCTCAATTTGTATTTTTGCACTCACTTGACAAAATATATTTTTTTAACGGCAGCCCAGAATGGTACGCGCGGTAATCCGTTAATTGTTGTAGTCTGCAGGATGCAGGATACGGGCTGTAGACATTTCACAGCTGGATTCATAGGGATGGACTGACAGGGCTGCTGATTTTACATCTACTGTTTTATAACTTAAGTAATTACACAATTCTGAGTGATTTATTTTTGCTTCAACATCCGTCAACTTTCTGTGTCTAGAAGAAGAGGAGAATGAATGGAAGCAGTTTGTATTTGCTTCATTTTTGCAAATGCAAATGCTTTATTTTTGCAGATGTAACGACTGTTCCTTGCTAATACCTCATCTAATTCATCTACGTATTTTGCTTTTGGCAATTTCAATTTGAAAGAGCGAGCTCAGGGTCTCCGTGTCCCATCAGTGACCGGATTCAGCCAGCGGATCTCTTTGCTCTCCACTTGAGGTGGAAAGTGTGTTTTGCTCAGGCTTTGACATCACTGCCTGACAGGGGAGACTCTGCGAACGGCATGTCCTTGGCACTTGACAGGAGGCTGGCAGGTAAGTAGCGATTTTTCGGGGTGTTCGGCTCGCCATCCATTTCCGCGGCGAAGTGGTCGGGACTTCCGCCGTTAGACGTCTCCTTGATGACACTGTAGGTCAGTGCCACGCTGTAAGAGGCAGGTTTCTCCGCGTGCTGAGGGCCGTAGTGGCACAACTTCTTAAAAGCGGCGCGGAACTTCTGGGACATGGCATTGTAGATGACCGGGTTGATGGCGCTGTTTAGGTAGATGCAGAGACGGCAGAAGAGAAGGAACCAGGTGTCCAGGTAGGCCTTGTCCAGGAAGGAGTTGACCACCACTAAGGTGCGGTAGGGCATCCAAAGCAAGGCGAAGAGGACCACCACCACGGCTAGCATCTTGGTCACCTGATAAAACACAATCACGCGTTAAGATGTGCTGCAACCAAATGGAATCACATGCTATTGGACAATTAATTACACTTTAAGTGTTTTCCATGCACGTGGAGTCGATACAGTATGAGGCCTTCTATGACAGCGAACCAAGGTTTAATGGTTGTAGTAACAATATGTTGTTCGTTTCTCGTGTCCATCTAAGCCATGACACAGCAACAGTGAGCCAGCATTCACAATACCAGGAGCCAGAAGCTAAGCCAGCTAGATGGAAGTCAGCCATCACTCTTTTGGACATGTGGAGGAAATGAAACTGCTGGTGGTGGAGTCCTCCTTTACCGATTCAAATCACCCGCGTACAAAGACGTATTCAGAGAAATTCAATTATTCCACCGTTTTATTTCTGACAAAGCAGCAACACAAGAGAATTCTGGGACCTGAAAGCACACGATCAATCAGGGCTGATATCTCAGAGATTACAATTTACTGGTTGGTGCACACGGTCATGCCCAAGAAAATAAAAAGTCATTCTCACCAAGCCTCTCTTCACCAAAGCTGGGGAGTAATTATTGACTTATATGCAGCCTGAGAGCACAGCCGCATCTCCACATGAACACCTGTTCTGTTGAGTCAATTCGAGTATGTTTAATGAGATCAACACTACTGTCCCAATATTGATGGTGTCACTGGAATTTTGGTTGAATTGATTTCCGGAGATACGTAGTTAGAAATACTGAATGCTCAGCTTGGTGCTCCTGAATACTGCTACATGTGTATGATCATTTTGTTGTCTTTTTATTTAGAAGGACCACAAATTTTGCATCAGCAGGAAACCCTCAGTGGGATAAACAAAGTCCTCAAACAACCAAACTGGAAGAAAAATTGTACGAAAACAAAATTCGGTAGAAGTCAAATAACTGTCAACATTTTGGACAGCATTGAGCACACACAGCCAATTCAGAGTTGCTTGATGGATTTTGGATTGTCGCTTCCTCCCCCTGATTGATCCCCCTGTTAACGTCTTACTTTAGATTTCTGACCTGCTATGGAAACAAATTCATTCTACAATAATTAACTAAAGCCTTCCTGATGTAAAATAAAACAATGTATTGATGACATATTAGTGGCCACAGTCATCCATTTAGCAAATTCACAGGAAAAAACAAAACAAACCAAAATCCTCTTTTTAATCAATATATATCTTGAAAGGAAAAATCTCATTTTGAAAAGGGGACACACCCAGATTGGCCTACTGACCTTAAGCAAGTAGGCGGCAGGTGGTGTATGAGTTGTTTTAGACGAAACCTAATCTGTTATTGAAGTGTGGGGACTTCTTTAAAACACATTTCTTTGTGTTTCTGTGAGCAGAGAAATTTAAAACCCATCGATTTGTTCGGGTCTTTGTCATAAATAACAACAGTTCCACTGTCACAGCCTTTTCCTTCCCCCGCAGTTTTGTTTTGGAGAAAACAAACGTGTCAGAATACAGAGTTTCTACAGAGTTACCATATCATTAGTATCCTTACGCAGAATCTTCTTTAAGTCCAGCGTAAATCTTTTGCATCAATTCATTTAAATCGGATGCCTCGGTAGGTAAGTGAATTGCAAAAAGATCATTTGCAGTTCTTTCAAAACTACAACTTTATAGATTAACACAATTAAAAGGTAACTAGATAGGAGTTGTCAGGTAGAAGATTATTGTTTTCCCAGTTGGAAAATGTGACCATAAACACACCAAGCTGTTCCTTGTTAAATACATACAAACTTATCACTTATCACTTGTTATTTATTCGTTTAATCAATTTCCAACAAGACAGAGCGGGCAATTCAACAAAACCCGGATTAGCTAATATGATTACCAGGTGATAATCCAGTAATGGAATCGAATTAAATCAAGTCCTCTCCACATGTATTTTCTGCCGTCTGGGCTGCAGTCAGGTGAGAATAATTCGATTGGTTGGAAGCGCTGCCAGTGTCATCGGTGAGAGAAATACCCAATCCTGCATCCTCGTTATGTCTTGACCTTCAGGTAATGCAGTAAAGCTCAGGGTAGATTGCAAGAATCGTTCCCACGGAAACAATTGTGATTGTGTGTTTGTGGGTATGCGTTGGTCAAAGATAAAACAGGGAAAGAAAACCAGCAGTAAGGAGAAAAAGCCAAAAAGCGTATTTGAGTTGGAGTTTAACTATGTAGCTCGCTCACACCCCTGTCATCCTAAGGCCTTCTCCTGTGATCCGACAAAGAAACGCCTTTGCCTGCCACTTGTGCGTCTGGGCCTTTAGAGAATTCAAGTTCACAAGCTCTTTCTATAAAGCCTTGTTGGCCTAAGTACTTTTGTTGGTGGTTTTCTACGAGCTACTGGATGAATTTCTGCATCAACGTTTAAAAAAAAATCAGTCCTGCTCCGCTGAAAGAACACAGGTCACATAAAAGAGTTTTAGGTGCATTTCGTTTGTGTCAATCTGAAGGTAACTAACAGCTGGCATTACTTTGATGCCATGGCAACAATTGAGTAAGTAGTGCTTGCAATTGTGTCTTTTTCAAAACTCCAATAAAAAAGTAACCAAACTGTAAAATAAATTGTTTGATACTTTTATAAAGTGTCAACAGTTTATCCAATAGGCTCAGTTTGGACATTCTCTTAAAAAACATTCTTAACATTTGTTTCATCACTGGGACACCTGATGACTGAGACTATCATGATAATGTGTTACACACTAAATATTGTACTTTTTAAGCATTACCAGCCTACGGGTGTGTGCAGTTTTGCAGCAGTTCTTTTGGGGGGTTACAGCTCTAACTGACCCCAAACATAACGTGATTTATGTCACTGACTTTTCAGCTAAATGAATTTGTGTTCCTCTAAAATGTGAATAATTTTGTATGGTGTTTAAATTGGAAAACTCTGTGGCAGAGGGCAGTGCATCGCTGGTGTACATGTTGGGTTTCATCAGGTCAAAGTATAAAACGAAAAGGAAAGTACTTGTTAATCTGGCAATACTAATAATTACTATTACACAGAACTTTGCCGAGTGTAACCCGGTGTGGGGTCACTTACAATGAGACCTGTGGTCAGTGCATTCATGCATTCATGCACTGACCACAACACAATAATGATCACATTATTGTGTTGCTCTCCTTGACTTTTGTGTTACATGAACTTTTCTCTAATTGGAGGGAATCGCAATGGCCTGACTGACACACACACACACACGCACACACACACACCTGTCTGCGGGAGGCCGCCGTGGTGCTGCTGGAGGAGCAGGTGCCGCTCATCCTCCCCCCCTGCCCCGTCTCCTTCTTCCACTTCTTGGTGCCGCTCTTGGGATCCGAGGGCAGCGGGTTGACGAACAGTATCCGCGCGATCAGTCCGTACAGAACCGTGGCGAGCATCAGGGGGAGCACGTAAAACACCGCGAAGTCCGTGAAGTAGATGGGCAGGTAGTGGCTCCTGGACACCTTGTAGGCGCAGCTGAGCAGCACCACGTTGTCGTACGCCGACGTCTTGGTGTCGGACAGAAAGAGCCACATGACGCAGTAGAGCGAGGTGAGCGTCCAGACCAGGAGGATGATCTTCTTCGCCCTGGACAAAGTGCACAGGAACTGCGCTTTGATGGGGTGGCAGATGGCGATGTAGCGCTCCACGGTGAAGGCGGTGATGGAGCAGGAGGACGCGTTGATGCCCAGGTACTGGAAGTAGGTGATGCCCAGGCACCCCGCGTAGCCGTACACCCACTGCCCGTGCAGGGCGTCGGTGATGTTGGGCAGCCCGGCGGCCGTCAGCACCATCAGGTCAGCCACGGCCAGGCTCACCAGGTAGCAGTTGGTGGGGGTCCGCATGTGCTTGGTGGTCAGGACCACCAGGATGACCATGACGTTGCCCACGATCCCCAAGCCGCATATGAGCGACACCAGGAACACGCTGGCCACTTTGTATTCGACCGTGTAGTCGGTCCAAACGCCCAGGGTTTGATTGTCCTGCACCGACGTGCCGTTCTCCACGGTCACGTCAACCATACTGAGGTTGGCCATCACGTCAAAAAAAAAATAGAGAAAAAAAACACCCCAGGCGGGTCAGACTAAAATCACCAGAACGCGTAAATGGGGCCCCTGGCTTCAAAGCTCGAACGAGCTCAAATTCTCCAAAAACACAATTTCATCCTCATGTAATGCGGGCAAAGTTGGTCCCTTTCCACCAAATGTGGTAGTTGAATCCGCCCGAGGACCCCTCTCCCACAGAAACATGCTAGAGCAGACAGCAGGGTGCTGGTGGAGGTTCGGAGAGCGGGCTGGAGGAGGTGTCGCTGGCAGCTCCGCGCCCTGCTCCCTTCTCTCTGCTCACGCAGTCATGACTGAGAGCTTCCCGGAGAGACCCGCACACTGCTCCCCTCCCATGACGGGGCTCAGAGAGCTCACATGTGTCGCATACAGATGTTTTGTGCAAAAGTAGAACTGATGAAAAGACAAATTAAAAGACACCGACAAGACAAATTCCTTGTATGTTTGGCACATTTGGTAATAAATGTTTCCTGATTCCTGATTCCTAATGATGTAATGATGAAGGATCACACGCACCGTTTTACTGATATAACAATATATGGTTATTCCTTCAATCTATCATGTTGTCTGTATGCTTTTGTTAAGTGTTCATGCTTCATAAGAGTGTTCGATCAATAAAAAACACTTGTAAATGACATTTGAGTGTGTTGAAGTGTTTTTTTAGATTAACTGCAGAAGTTTTTTTTTCAATGAAATTGAATATGTTTCAGCTTGCTTCAACACTTGACGCTACTTTGTATACTGATTCAACTATTATTATATTATAACTGCTTCATTTTACTGCAGATTTTGCCAAATCTTATCCTATTCTTGGAATTTAGGATTTATAATACTGCTCTGCAGATTTGAATAATGTTTGGTTTGGAGTTTGTCCTCACAATGTCCCATATAAACCCTCAAAGAGATATATTCACACTGATGAAATACTACAAAATATATGATATCAAATAATTAAATGATGTTTCACATCCTGTGTGCAGGATAAGCGGTTTGACAATGAATGGATGGATGTTTCACAGAACAGAACCCGAAGTCAGTACTACTAAATGTAAACTCACATTGGTGGAATGTAAATCAACACAATAACCATGCAGGTACAATGGTGAGGTGGTCTAATTCACTGTTTTGACAGTGATTAAATTAATTTGTTGGTTCTTGAACATAGTCAGATATGTATATGACATCATTTGTGTATCGTACTTGCATGTTACTACAAAGTGGTACATCAAATCCTGTTAAGGTCGCTGTGTCTGCAAGACAGGAGCATACGTGTTGGGAAATGAGAAGACATTGCAGGACTATTACAGCAGTAAAGCAGATCACCAAGAAGAGGACTTTAATATCATTTTTAAATGCAACATGCATGAAAGGCGTGACAGCCGCCTATTTGTATTTTTTTGTTTTCTCCAATCTGTGTAATTTTGCGCTGTATACAAAACACGTCACTATTTAAAGTGTCTGATCCATGTATGGAAACGTGGAAATTGTAAATCTGTCTTATCTCTATGTACTAGTATTCTGTCTCATGGTCGTCTACCTGACTCCTCGCGCCTCATCGACAAGGACATGCCGGTTCCCGCTGTGGGGCTGGTATACAGCGTTGCTTCTCAGAAGGTGAGGTGTTGTGCATCACAATACGGATGGGTGGCGTTAGAGCCTGTTCTCCGACTTGAGCCCCCCCCCCCCCCCCCCTTCCCCGCTACCAGCCAAAAATATAAACAAACTGGCAGAGGTTTCAGGCAGCTGCTCATCACAAATTTAGATTGGTGTGATTGTTATTTCCTGGGAAGCTGCATGGGCTCCAGTGGAAAAGGGAAAGCAAAGGATGAAAGTGACTCAGATCCCAGCACAGCAGGCGAAGCCAAGTTGATATTGCCGTCTACACAAGCTTCCCAGAAGGCTGATTCGGTAATGAGAGATCAGCAGTCTGGAGGAAAATGACTTTTTGGACCGTGGACAGATAAACTACACACTGTGTACATAAACCGTAAGATTACCTGACTATTATTTAGAGGGTTTTTAGAGGTCAGAATCTTCTGAACAATTTGATACCAGTGTACAAGTATTTTCTCATGAGGCATTAAGTCACTGTCACCTCTGTATCGATTGCTTCCTCTCCGTGCGCACTACGCTGAGTCAGCGGAGGGCTGAATGAAGGGTTGAGGTGTGAGACCGTGAGAGGTCACCACTGCTCTCAGCCAGTAAAGAGACAGAATCCCACAATTTAAAGGAGTAATTTGGTGATTGCTGCCAGTACAATTAGACTGTATATGCATGCTCTTGGAAAAGAGCGTGCCAATTCCTTTTATTTAAATGGTGATGCTTTTTATGATTCATTACTGGCGCAATAACAGTCCAGGGAGAGTCATTTCGTTTAGTTGCCCTATCCAACTGGATTGTAAACTTTACAGCCAGTTCACATCGGACCCAGTGGTCAAAGAGGTTGATCAGCCTGAAAACAAGCTATCAAATTACAAGGTGAAAGGGGTCACTCTTAGTGGTGAACCTATAGAGAGAACTATCAACTGGATGTGCATATGGATGCTCCATGCACCAGGTGGAAACACAACTCCAAATGAACGATAATGTTGCTCTAAATCTACTGGAGGAATACATATGCAAATGTTTCCTAACAAGTTCGCCACCTTAAAAGGTGATGATATGGTGTGTAAACAACCTCAACAGCAACTGGCCAAAATAAGCAGTCATTGGATGTTAATGTCACGCTAACCCCTTCGGGGCAAACAGTCCTCCAAAAGTCGCCCGAATTAACCACAGAAGACACGTTTGTAACAATGAAATCCAGCGCTACGTATGAACACGAAGTAAAGAAATCACAATATTCTAGGCTGAGAGGCCGGACGACTGACCACACACCCGTGGTCCATAGTATCACAACACGGTAGAAATAATGTTTTACATGATAAAGCTGTGCAATCCAAAATCATAACATTTAAAAAACGTGATTTGCTGTCATGCTTAGAGGTAGATGAGATTACTAGCACCACTCTACTTATTGATTCGTGCAGAATTTCTTCCCCAACTGATGATTGTGAGGGCTTCTCCTCCCTCACAACACTGGCAGTGTGTCTTCACTGCCACCTCATGGTCAAACACTGCTACTGAGACAATGGACAGGAGCCAGGTTACCGTTATCTGTGTGATCTCAAGCTTCATTACGCTGTTTATACATCGCAAATGCTTAAAGGTGTGAGCGCTGACTGCTATTCGAGCACCTGCCACACGGGCGTGTTCAAGTCTTTTGTGCAATTTCTAGGGTATACATGTTTATTATTAAGCCAAACAGAAGCTTTGGCCTGCAAAATGTCAATGATCTCAAAACATCTGAAGAGATTTGAATTGAAGAACTGCTCTGCTGTTGAGCTGTTGAAAACGTTCTCCTTCCTCTGCTAGTTGTTATGGGAATAACTCCTCATTTATTTGTGTTGTTGTTGTGGATGAATATCTCACCAGTGGACACATTCACAAATTCTCGACCGGGACCTCGGTATTGTTTTCAATGTATTACTCACAGCACCTTATATAAGAGAAGGCCTTTCGTTCCTAAATGAAAACTTGGGTAAAACCTCAGAAGGAAAAGTCCCCCGGTGCCAGCAGACTACTCAGCGATTGGCTTCCTATAGTCACTAAATATAATCAACCTCTTTGGCCTGAACCCAAGACTTTCTCATTTACCTAATGAATGAGAACCATCCCGTCTAAAATGCTTTCCTGGTCAGCAGTAAGAATTATGAATTTGCCAACCATTTAGCGACGCGCTAGACTAACTGTGACTGAGTGGCTGAAACAACATGTTTGCTGCGTCACGATTAGGAAGCCATGGTACCCGTGCACATTGGATTGGCAGCGCTCCAGGTGAAGACGCAGAGGCGGGAGACAGTGACGGACTCCCTGCGAGTTATTAAAAGCGTTAAAATTCAAAAGCAGCTTTAGCGTGATGGTGTAACATCCCATTAATTATGACAAAGAGACGATGAAGAGAAGACGGGTCGATGAGATGGTGGAATTCATTATCCCAGTCAGCTCGCTTGATCACCAGAAAGCTTTTTTTCTCTTCTCCCTGTGAGGTTTTATCTTTGCACGAAGCATAAATCTTTGCCTCCAAACATACACACACACAAGCCACTAAGCAGGCCATTATTATCCTTCCATTATCCCCCACTCACAGTGTCTGCTTGGTCGAGGCCAACCACACCACTTCAATTAGTAAAGTCGCTGTAAATGAACTTGAGGCTCCAAGTGGTAAATATCTCATAAGAGGGTCTGCCGCCGCCGGCCATCCTGTCAGGAAGACGAGGAAGGAAAAAATGTCATCAGGCTGCCTCTTCTGTCCCTTGTCATCCCTGCTGTCGGCATTCACTCTCCTCTCCGGGAGGCTTTTTAGGAGCCACTGAAGGGTTTGCGTGCCAGACTTCCAAAGCAAACCACAGGGAGTGTGTACACCTGCTTATTAATAATCTACAGCACCCCGCTGCTGTGACACACTCTGCTGGTGACCTCTGCATACTCTCTGCAAGATTGCAGGCAAAGGATTCCGTTGACCTAAAACACTCAGGAGACAGATATTTTTCAATGTGTAATAAAGCTAAATTAAGTATGAAGAGCTGAAAGGATTTCGTTGCTTCTGCATTTTGTCTTATTAATTAATTTGTCTGTTTTATGTTGAGATCCGATTCGGGTTGAACCTGCTTTTCTTTTGTCAACTCGAAAAAGTTTACGTTGAAAGTTCAATGCAGGTTCTCCTTATTTTTTTCACCAACAATTAGTTTCGAACCAGTACTTTACTGAAATGTGTCGCACCGGTAAGAAACGTCTTGGAGTGATTTAAAGACTGATTTAAAATCTTTAAACTTTCTGTACCAAATGTTGCTGTAGGCTATTTGTTCAGTTGAGAAGGTGAAGTTGGATGTAGTTGCTTTGGAGCTATATTGTGTTGTTTTGTTTTTATAGTGTACCTTTTTATTCAAAAAGCAAATTTTGTTGTGTATCAGATCGGGAATCCGAAGACAAAATTTCCTTTTTACTAATTTCTCTAAATAGGTCATATATTATGCAAATAGGCTCTGCCAGATGGTTAAATTATGGGGTGTTCAAGTTATACGGCACAGATGATTAGAGCAGCTCACAAGCCTTCACATGTTACTCACAGCACTTTCTTGAGGATATTGTAGATGATGAGACACAAACAGTCGGTAGGCCTACTTGGGGACGATACGCGGAGCCAGATAAAAAGAAAAAATTCTAAAAAAATTCTGTTTTGATGTAAGGGGCACGGATCAGGGTTCCGCAGTCACGTCATAAAAACGTTTGTTGACGTTTGTTTGGAGAAAAATCTGTGGAATCCGAGGCCATGTGGTCGAGGTTAACATCAAGGCATTTCATGATTATCGTCCGATATGACATGAATGTGGCTTATTCAAGGCTTAGGTACACTTGAATGTGTTGTGGGTTTTCAACCTAAGACAAGCTGCTGCAGCCAACGGGCTTCTTCCTGTTTGTCATTCTCACACTTCTACTCATTCATATTCACAGAGTTTGCTAATGTGGGACACTGACCAGCCTCTGCAGCTCACACAGAGCAGCTGGAGGTGCCGTGCAACTCAGTCACTCCCTCATCCACGAATTCACTTCATAATTCACACTCCTGCACACGCACTGTCGCACTCCTCCTCTCCCTCCTGCTGCCCACCGTCCCACCTCCACCTTCCAATATCTGCTACTGGTCGACAAAAGGAAAAGCAGTGCTGCATCAGTGGTTAATGTTGCCTATTCTGTGTGTGGCTGCATGCCTGCGGCAGGAGACACTCTAAGGATTCATAGCCTTTGGAAGCACCGCGTCCCCCAGCAGCACTTCCCCTCCCAAGCTGTGTCGGCGTCCTTGCAGGAAGAGTGATGCACTGTTGCACGCAGATAGCATCTGATGGTTGGCTGCTGTTGCACAGACGGGCGCACAGTCACGTCTCTTTCTCTCTGCATGAGACCGACTAAAGTTGACTACAAGAAGACCAACCAGAACATAAAGCATCACGAGCATCACGGCTCCCCTCTCCAAACTAATTTCTGGCACCAGGATGGTGGAATAAATCTTTGTCCGTCTCTTTTGTCCTCTCCCCTTCTCTTAACTCATCTGTTAAATGGAGCCTCGTTGGGAAATGAGCCAAAAGCCTTTCACGCAGCAACTAGCACCACAGGAAATGTATATTTATAGCTGCTGCCTGGTTGCGCTAACATAAGGTGGAGCAGCCAGCGAATGAATATTCAGTCTAAAGTGGGATTAAGCTCCCAAATGGTTGATGGTGACCAGCACATTACATCTACTTCATATATAGTGTCCCTTTTTATGTGTTATTGTTTATCGTCCATCTTCAAAGATGGCTCTAAGGCAAGGGCTCTGAAGATATGGCGTGAATGAGATGAGCCTGCCGAAGATGTACACGGGGTCGAAGATCAGGTGACCTATTTGATCTCTAGATTAAACGTGGATTAGAATGGCTTTGGCACAGTGAGCAGTAATCTTCTGCGAGAGCGCAGGAGAACAGATGGTACACGATACACTCGCTTCAAACAATGCCGTTTGCACGGCGCCCCTGGATGGATGTTTCTGATCTGATGACAGATTTGTTTTTGTTTTTCCATTGATATCATGGTGGATTTACTTTTTGATGTAATGACCTCATCAACAGATAACACCCACATTGTTGCGTGCACTTCCATGGTTTTAAAATGTGTGGTAAAACAAACAATATCATTGGTTTTTTATCACTCAATATATATATATATATATATATATATATATATATATATATATATATATATATATATATATATATATATATATATACACACACTCTTATATTGGGCTCCCTGTATGATCCCTATGGGAACCAGCACATTCTCAATGTCTGCCTCTAGCCAGAGCTTTATAGTTTACATTTCAATGGCATTCTACTAAAAATAAACCATTTCGAATGATCAGGTTCGGGGGTTTCCCCCCTTTGGGCCCAAGAGGGCTCATCCCGTTTGTCTTTGACTGACTGCAGGTTATCTCAATCCGCACACAGACAGCGAGGCTCCTTTCAGGCCGCGGGCGCGGCCAGCCGAGGCTCCGTGTGTGGGAGGGACTTTCGAGGGGGAGGGAGGGGAGAAAGAGAGAGAGAAAATCCAAAGCTTTCTCCACTGATAAGGCTTTATCTGTCCCCATTATGCCCCCCCCCCCCCCCCCAGCTAAAGAGGAGAAGACGGCAGCGATGCTCGAGTAGCGCGGTGAGTTTATTTCTTCAGTCCGATGAGCTGTTTTGTTGGGGATTAGAGGAAGATAAAGCCACGTTGTGCGCGACTGGTCCAGCCTTCATGCAGCGGAGCACCTCACGTCCTCTGCTGAATTCAAATAAAGTGTGGACGAGGGTTAGTAGCCTATAGTGTGGGGATATATTATTAGAAGCTGTGGTGGGAAATCGTTTTCTGGCGGCTTTCTCGGAAGCAGGCTACAATTGATTTTATAAATGAAAATATATTTGACGTGTGATTTTGTTATGTGTATCGCATGCCTTCAGTCTGTGTTCTTTTTTTTAAACAGAATTAGAATTGAGCATAATCTCGTAGCGTGGGATGTTTTCCTAATTGGATACAGAGGAAGTTGGCTAATCACATCCACCATAAAGCACCTTTCAAAGATAAAGGGATTTTTCTTAATCGATCCCTATCAACTTTAAAGTGTTGATGATTTTGGTCCCTGCTCAACTATGGATGCATTTGCATTTGGTGCATCGTTCCAAATTACGCACAAGTGTTTGCGCAATTATCCAGCGCTTCGGGCAACGCAATAATCGAATTAAGATGCACCATTTACCTAAATGTGGTGCGTGCCCTCTTAGGGATGCTGTGGAGTGAAAGCATCGTGGGAGGAAGGCTCGCAGTCAACCGGCAGGTGGTGGAACACGAATGGCTTCTCCGGCGCCGCTTCCCACAGACGATCCGGCCGACGTCCTTGACCGGATTTCCAGCACGCTGCACGGCCGCACGACGAGCGGATCAACAGGAGGAGCGGCCCCGAGGGAGGGTGGCTGTAACGCGGCCCGCAGCTGCCATGGCCGGTGTCATTCAGCACCAAGGACGGCGCTGCGCAGGGGAGGCGCAGAGGTTAAACTCGCTCACCCCTGCGAGGAGAAAGTGCGGATTTGTTGCGACGAGGAATTAGAGACATCGTTCAGCTATGTTGACGAGAACGTTAACCTACGGCTGGCCAGCCCGGACGCTAGTTGTAAAAGTACTCACAGAACCGTGCACAACGGCGAGCCTTGCTCCGAGACTTTTCCGGAGCTTTCCTTCATGTCCGAGGACGATCTCTCCTTCGGGGAGGGCCCCGGGTCTTCCACGGACTACGGCTTCATCAGTGCGGTCACGTTCTTGGTGACCGGGATCTCCTTGGTGATCATCTCCTACGCCGTGCCACGCGACGTGGAGGTGGACCGTGACAGCGTGTCGGCGAGGGAGATGGAGAAGCTGGAGATGGAGAGTGCCCGGATAGGTGCCCACCTGGACCGGTGCGTCATAGCGGGGCTTTGCCTGCTCACGCTGGGTGGCGTGGTGCTCTCCACGCTGCTGATGATCTCCATGTGGAAGGGGGAGATGTACCGGAGGAAGGTGGTCGCTTATTCCAAGCGTTCAGCTAAACTGTACGGCTCCATCAGCCTGAAAACGAGATCCAGTCCCAGCCACTCCTCTGCGCGCTTCTCACTGGAGGAGGACATTGAGGAGACTTTGGCTTAGAATGCTCTGTGTATAAACCTTTTGTGTATAAGAGGAATTAATGCCGTTCACACACACACACACACACACACACACACACACCATCTAACGTACTGTTCCCTGAAAGTATACATTCAGAGTGTATTATTCTGTAGAAATAGATCATTATATATCCACGTGGCATACAGGAAGGATGAGAGCACTCAAGGGCAAAAATGAGGGAATGCTAAAAAAATATGGCAACAAATGCCCAAATTGTCAAATTTAAAATGTCATAAAAGTGATCACAAAGAATGTCAATAGCTTTGTGTCACAAACGCTGGATCAGTTTGGGGTTTTTTTTTTGACCCAGGATGCAATCTTTGAGAGCTTTCATTTATTATTTAGGCTATTCATATTTAATGTGCATGTCTCCAACAGACACATTTCAGGAAGCTAGGGAAGTGTGTGTCCGCCGGGCAGGAGAGTGGGTGTAAGAAAGCGATGTAATGCGGCCCCTGTCCGGTGCGATGGGGGAGAATTGGCTCAGTGGTCCACGTGGTAATATCCAGTGACAGTCGCTCTGGTGCAGTGCTGAGGTAAGCCAGTATGGCCCCGCTTCGTGCATCTCCACGTCGGTTTGATTTTAGTGAGGAATTTGACTGCATTCGACAGACACTTCTTCATTCTCAGCACCAGCGTGATCCAATTTCCCTTTCTTCTCCTTCCTCCCTTCAGCCGTCAGGAGAATTGTCTTTCTCCTGCAGTTTTTCAGCGCCCTCCTCCCATTGACCTGTGAACACATTCAAATTTAAACCAAAAGCGTGTGGTAAGGGTCCTGGACAACCACAGCCAAGTGCCTGAAACATGTTAAGGTCGATGAACCTTCCCTTAACTTTCCTCCTCTCATCCTGTCATTCTCTCTGCATGAGGACGAACTTAAGAAGGCCTAATCGCACATCAAAGAGTTGCCCTACATCCAAAACCATAAGCTGTCTCTACGTATAAGAGCTAGTCACATATTCAAAGGGAGGAGTTGTTCCTTTTTTTTAATGGGATTATTTTATGTTATCATGGAGATCTGCTGACTAAAATATTGCTGAAGATGCAAAAAAAAAAGCAAAGGCAAAGAGGTTTCTCGCGTGCAGACTTGCTAAAGATCTCCAGGCAAGTCAGAAAGCAACTTTATTTTCTAATTTAGTTTCTGTCTTCACTAAGTCCACTTTCTCTTTCTTGCCGGAGGTTATGACATTATTGTTGTCTGAGGAGGCCTGCGGAACAGAATAAAGAAAGCAATTCTCTTCAAGAAACTGTGTGTGTGCGTGTGCTAGGCTCATGAATCATGCATAAAACACTAGAATGAATGAATATTCTCAGATATTCATAAACACTGCCTAACAATGCATTCCGAAACATATGTGCTAATGATGATTCTGCCGTGTCACTATTAGCTTAGTTTCCGGTCCTTTCATTTCTCGGGCTGTGTGACCCTCAATCTTAAGGCTTGCATTCAAAACAACACGAGTCAGCCTCTATACACATGAGACATGTCGGCAGATTTCTCCATGTTAAACAGCTCGGGGGCCATGCCGTTTATTGGGCTGTCTGTAATGCTGTGACAGCATATACATGCCAGTCTGTGCAGCGACACACGGATAAACTAATGTGTTTAGAGTGAAAAGACTGGACAACTGGCGTCTAACAAGGCATTCAGCAAGCATTCATCAATTACTGTGCTGCAGTAATTAACTAATTCAAGTTTGTGATGCTGCAGCCTTCCATCCTGTGAGTCTGGGACCACAGACCTGACAAGTGCGCGTGCATCCCCCGAAAAAACCCACCATTACGCCCTGAAATGGCAATAAAACGGCAAATGAACCGATTTCCAGGAAAGGTAGTAAAAGTTAATGATGCATGTGAGGCAATGTTGTCCCGTTCTCTCTGCAGAAGCTGTAAATCCACAACCAGCATTGCAGATGTTAAAGTGATATTTCATTTAGCGAGCTCGCCTGGTGTCGTTGGCCGTAGAAACGAGGTGCCGCGCCCAAGCGCTGAACACTCATTTCTCACCGCTTCCTTTTTTCTTTCCACATTAAATTCACGTCAAATTAAACTCGCTCGAGGCGTAAAAGGCGGCCAACAGCAATGCTGCTATCTGTATTATAATATAGAGCAATTAACTCAAACTGCAGCAGGCTACATTGCCGAGGCCGTGCAACAGTGGTTGCCGGCGTTGTGGTCAGAGGTGCACCATCTGGGAGAGCGTCACTCCTGTAGCACACAGAGGATCGTGAAAGCCTGAGGGGAGGCTTCCAACGGACTCATCTGCAGCACGTAAAGCACAACATATACCACCTACTTCCTGGCTTGTTCTCCGTCCTCCTCCGTGGCTGGCGCTAGGCTTCACAGCCAAAACCAGGCTTCCCCTCACACAGCCAACTAAATGTGTTTGAGGGATTTAATCAGGGATTTGCTCAAAGCGACAGCATTTTACAGGCCAAGCTGAAGTGTGTTTCCAGAGGTCTCATGCAAAAGCTCTTTATCCATGAGCGGTGTACAGCTAAACCGCCCTTATTGATATTTGGTCGGCTCCTCTATAAGTCAGCCCCTCCAGGTGAGACTGGGGATCAGCTTAGCTGCTGCCATCAGCTAATTTCCCTCGAGGTGTTATTACACACCACCTCGTCAATGCTTATGCTGTCAGTGTGAGCAAGTACGTGAGTTTTTAAATTAACTTCCACAGGTTTTGTCTGCTGACCGTACACATGCATTTTCAAATAGCTTCTGTTGCAATGTGTATTTTTCCACCTCGGGAAGAATAAAGGTAGTGAGAATCTCAGTCCTGTATGAAACTACAGCCACTAGCTTTGCTTTGATTAGCATAAACAATGGAAACAGCTAGCCTAGCTCTGCAGAATGTAATAAAATCAGACTTCCCGCATCTCTGAAGTTCCCTCGAATTGCAAAGTGGGAGAAGCTATTTCGGGCGCCTTTGCTTCGAGAAGCAGAAGTCCCATTAATTTTCCCCAATGGACAATACCGTGGTGACTCATTGTTTAAGCACCAGTCGGATAAGCATGCAAGTCTCCCGTTGAATTAACAACATAAAAAAGTAAGAGCTGGGTCAGAAAAATGTGTGATTTTGGAAAGTAAAATCCATTCACTGAGTTTAAATTCCGTATCCTGTTGCCTACAGTGATAGAAAGTTTATGGTCGGGAGAAAGATCTGCAATCAGCATCTTAAATGAACTGACTTAGCACCTTGGTAAACGGTTAACCGGTCCAGTATTTTTGCTAAGCTAAGCTGTAGCTTTTTATCTAGCATAAAGACAGATCAATCTTGTCATCTGTTTACCAATCCTTTAATTATGTGCAGTGTTCATGCAACTTCGTGGCGTGTGCACTCAGGCTTTTAGGCTAAAAGTAGAACCCTACTGCCCTGCCTCTCTTTTGTCATGCGTTTCAGATATACTCATCTCCGCGGTGACCTTGCCCTCCATCCATCAGTGGAGAGTGAAGCCAAAAAAAGGAAAGACTTCCACTTCAATTGATTGCTTTGGAGGGGAGACTAAAGCCTAAAGTCCTCGGGGACATGACTTCATTCTTGGTCGCCCCCCCCATTGCTATCCTCAGACTGGGTATTTTTAGTCAATGTGCATATTGGATTTTTGGAAAGCTCATCGTATTGTAAATGCAGTCCATAAAGCGCAACATTTAGCATGCACTTAGCCCGGCTCTTTTACGTCTGGCCGGCAAGAACATCCTGGTTTCCTTTTTCCATGACATTTAAGATATAAGTGTGTGTTTTCTTCGGCTCAGATTTTCATTAGATACCGGCTCCCTTACCATTACTGTGTTGCCCTTTCTCTTTGTCTTGTGCCACGCCACTTGGAAACCCCATCAATCAGCAATTTCCTGTTCTCCGTGGTACGATTAAACAAAACTCCTATTCTTTAAAGAAATGACCACAACCACGGCTCTGTGTCGAATAGATTCACGTCCCTGATCAGCCGAGGCACCGAAACTGTCCTCAGAATCCTTTTCGTCGCTCGCTGTTCGACCTCGCTGATGCCGGCGATCAGGCCTGCCATACCCGGACACGGGAACGTCTGCGGGATAATTTCCTGTATTGCACTTGGCATCTCTGAGACGGATAAACTATTTGGCTGCTATGGTTGTTGAGAGAGAGGAAATGAGGTGATCGGTTGGATCAATCTCACAGTAAAACCACTCAACCACCGCAGTAAGGCAATACAGGTTACATCTCCCTCCGTCTCGCTCAGCTTCTCTGATCAGGACATTTTGAAACGGGCTGTTTGCGATGGCAGACGCTGTGCCCCCGCCGATGCTGTGGTTGCACGGTGGCTGCTCTCGCAATAACATTACCATCATATTTTCAATGAGCCCGTCAGTTTAGCCAGCTTTATTGCACAAACAAATCACAAGCTCGGTTCACCTCTTGATCACCTCGCTGTTTAGTCCCTTGTGTTGTAAATCACACAGACTTGCTGGGCTCCATTGATTTAATTTGTATTAAATCGCTAATGCAGTTATCCGTCATGCATGGTCTCGTGTGGAGCTTGTTTCCCCCATTATGCCTATGCATTTACCTCTAATTACAGTAAATAATGATTGCTCGCTAGTTCGCTGCAGTAAATACTGTAAGTGGGCTAGTGTGGCCTTTCAAAAGACATCTGTGAGCCAAGAAAACCGCTTGATCATCTCATACTACAACATCTGAACAGCAGAACCTAATGGCGAGGCGAAGAGTTTGACACAGTTCAATGCGTTTTTGCATTTCTACAGGTATTTCTTCAAAGACGACCGCCTCATTGGTTGAGTTAAACCACAACTGAGCTGAAGATAAATTGGGATTCAGCCGAGCCAGCCGCTCTGGTAAGATGTACTCGGCCACAGGGACGCTGAGTTGGGACGTTTGCTGTGTTGCCTCCACAAACGATTTAACGTGTACCAACATTTGTACAAGACCAATTTCTTACTGTGAGCTGCTCTTCAGTTTGATCAGATGAACAGTGAGATTAACTAAAACATGGTTTTAAATAAGTGGGTTTTGCCAACCACTCAGGCTGCTCAGTTTGAAAGGGCTGTGAGCAGCCAATTTTCTGCAAAATACAATTGCTTGAGAATTATTTTCTGCATGGCCTACGAGCTGTAGTTAGCATTTTTACATTTGCAACACCTGAGGCTGAACAGAAGGTCGTTGGCTTCCCATGAATGTGGTTAGTGATGAACACATGAAGTTAAAAGTTAAGGGATCAACAAAAGTAATTCGCACACACACCTTTTTGAAGCATAAATGAATAAAAAAGTCAGACCATACAGTCAATGTGGTATTTAACTGGAAAGGGAAGACTGGAACCGGCTGGTGGCGCCACAGGAAGGTTCTGGGATGAAGTCGTTAAGACCTAGAAGTCAGTACCAAGTGGCAACCCATCCACAAAATGCAGACAAATCCCTAAAAACACAAAATGCATAAGCTCTCTGTGTTGGAGTATGTATGTGTGCTTCCTCCTCAGGGGACCATGAAAACCTCTGTGCCATCCATTATACAGTTGTTGATGTACTTCAGTTTGGAGCAAAATGGTCAATCCACTGCCATGCACCAAGCGTGGCCAAAACCAGTAATCAGCTGACCTTTTCAAGTTTGGAAAGAACCCTATTGGCCCGTTATCATCGTCATAAAGCGATGAGAAAAATACTATTGCCATTGTAATTTCATTTATTCTTTAATAAGATTTCTTTGCCATTCAGGTTTGACATTCATCCAGCTCGTGCTCAGGCAAAAACTCTTGACTGTTGCCACTGGGGTTTAACTCCTAACCAATGAGATTATTTCTAATCCTAAAAAAGTATACTTTGAACTGCACGTCCAATCTGCTTGTGTCTGCGCTGCACGGACTGATAGAGGATTGTCTCTGGATGTAACCAGCGGCGGTGTTGGGGCGAGACGTCGGACCAACAGCAGGCGCTGCAGAGCTGACTGCATGCACTGCATTTCCTTTGCCTTGAGTGTTGTGTTACCAGCCAGCGTTGCACCGCTGAGAGATGATACTGGCTGGTGGAGACAGCCAACAGGATGTGGAGAGAGGAGGATGTTGGCAGGGTGAAACCACACGGGACACACTCACACACCCTCACACATGGACGCACACGTAGTCTGACACATGCACGTGTAGGTGCATGGATGCATTGTTGACGCATTGTTCAATTTCATATTGTGAAAATATACCACTAAGGCTTTTATGTAAATGCCCTGCATTCAAACCCTTTTTTTTTATCATCCGCCATT